AATTCACAACTTACAGAACCCTCATATAAAACAATATCAAATAATAGATGTTTTACTACAGGTTGTAATGTTGACCACCTACTTAAAGCCTAGTGTTTTCTTGACATCTGAGAGAATTTCAAATTCTGTAGGTGATTTTATCACATAGATATAAAGTCTATTTTGAAGTAAGCTAAAGATATGTTTTTAGTTGCTGCAGAATTTGTAGTCAAGAGACACACTGAAAAATCCTGTTTTTACAAGTGCTCATTTCTTAGTAGATACTTCATATTTACTTCACAGATATCAATGAGGAAATGTTCACTTTAATCCCCCAGAATTTAAATATATAACTTTATCAAACATTATTTGCATTTACATAGGTTTGCTCCATAATTATTTACATATACCCTGAGCAAAATATCTGCTTTTACTGAACTACTATTATAACCATGCCAAGATAAGTCATTTCATAGGGTATAAACCTCACTATTGTCCCTATAAAACTATACTAAATTTTTTCAAAGATAATTACAAATTATGACTTAAAAGAGTGATTGCAAATTTGTTTTTCTTTTCCTTCAGACCAGGGATTGGTGTGGTAAATGATGCCTAATTAATATCATCTTAAAATATGTTTTTCTCACTTTACTTTGCAAACCAGGACCCCCCTCCGCTCCTCGGAATGCCATCTCCAATGTTAATGAAACTAGTGTCTTTCTGGAATGGATTCCGCCTGCTGACACTGGTGGAAGGAAAGATGTGTCATATTATATTGCATGCAAGAAGTGCAACTCCCATGCAGGGGTGTGTGAGGAGTGTGGCGGTCATGTCAGGTACCTCCCCCGGCAAAGCGGCTTGAAAAACACCTCTGTCATGATGGTGGATCTGCTCGCTCACACAAACTATACCTTTGAGATTGAGGCAGTGAATGGAGTGTCCGACTTGAGCCCAGGAGCCCGGCAGTATGTGTCTGTAAATGTAACCACAAATCAAGCAGGTAAGTGTCACGCCCAACCAAATTGTGTATCTTAGGCCTAGCTTTCTCAATTATCTTCGCAGCTGAGGGCCAAGTTGACTGAGATCTGTGAGAGAACTTTCCAAACACCACAAGGTCAGGACTTTAAAGTATTACACATCTCAAAATGCTTTTGTAGTTTTAAACATACATAAGCTAAAACTCTCTTAGCCAGATACACCTACAAAGAAAATAACAAAAAAACCCCACGTGTTTTAATTAAATTTTTTCATTAAAATGCATTTCTAGATCAAATCCATGTGCAGCAAAAAATTTTATCTCAAATAATTTCACACCATTCATTTTTATAGCTCAAATCTATATTTTTGGTTGCTTTGTGCCCTTCACGTTTTTTTTTAATTCATTAATTTAACATAGATCAGGCAGGTTTTATTTACTTGTTTTCTTGTTTCCTTGACACCATAGCTGAATTTTCTTTACACATTATAATTGTCTTTTGAAAAATAATTTGTAGTATTATAAAAAATGCATGAAATGAATTTTTCTTTGTTAACATCATCTATCAAAATTAGAATAACTATGAAATATTATATAACTGCATAATAGCACATCTATGTTGCATGTGGAAATCATGGAATTATCGGGGAGTAATTATGAGGGAGTAGAGAATACAGTCCTGTTTCATCTACTAATTTCTCTATACCTGCCCCTCAAATATTATCCTATAAGCAAATCAACATAGAAGAATATTTTCTGATAAAATAAAAAGTAAAGATAAACTATGTCTGACTTAATAATTCAACCTACTACATGGCAAGAATCATTCCAAGCCTAAGAGTAATTTATAACTTGTTTTTGTTTAACAGTAGGTATCCAGGAGGGGAAGATAAAGGTATTAAAAGCCATAAAAGTTGTAACTTTCCTCTATTACTTGTACACAACTCTCATCTCGGTACCTCAGGTGGGCTATGGTCAGTGGGCACATCCTTGCCACCAATACTCACAATGAAATAAGATGTGTTTGAATAAATCAGACTTAGCTCACATAATATTAGTATAAGTTTATAGGTGTGGAATGATGGGGCTAATGAGGCGATGCTGTTGGCTACCAAGTCTCAGCTTAAATAATTAATTTGAATTGATATATCAGGTAAACCAAGTGGTTATCTCTTAAGGATAAGAACATGCATGGATTTGAGTTCATAGTTTCTTCAAATTGATAAAGCCAAGGGAAATATTCAAGATTAGCCTAGATGCTGTAAGCATGTGAGTAATGCAATAAGAATCATTCTGATAAATTGACGCCTCCCAATTTGTTCTTTTTGTTTAACATTGCTTTTGCTATACGGGGTCTTCTCTGGTTCCATACAAAGCATAGAATTATTTTTTCTAGATCTGCAAAAAATGAGGTTGGTATTTTAATAGGGATTGCATCGAATCTGCAGATCACTTTGGGTAGTATAAACATTTTAACAATGTTGATTCTGCTGACCCATGAGCATGGTATGGTTTTCCACCTGTTTACGTCCTCTGCTATTTCCTTCCTCAATGTTTCACGTTCTCCCTGTAGAGGTCATTCACCTCCTTAGTTAAATATATTCATAGGTATCTTATTTTCTTTGTTGCTATTGCCAAGGGTATTCAGTTTGACTGTTGTCAGAGTATAGGAATGCTACTGATTTCTGTACCTTGATTTTGTAACCTGAGACTTTGCTGAATTTATCAATTTCAGTAATCCCATGGCAGAATCTTTGGGGTTACCTAGGTATAAGATCATATCGTCACCAAAGAGCAATAGTTTGGCTTCTTCTCTTCCCATTTGGATACCTTTGATTTGCTTCTGATTGCTGTGGCCAGGACTTCCAGCACTATGTTGAATACAAGAGCTAATAGAGGGCAACTTTGTCTGGTTCCAGTTCTAAGCAGGAATGCTTCCAATTTTTTCCTCATTCAGTATGATATTGGCTGTGGGTTTGTCATATATGGCTTTTATCATTTTTAGCTAAGTCCTGTCTATGCCTATTTTGTTAAGCGTTCATATCATAAAAGGGTACTGAATTTTGCCAAATGCTTTTTCTGCATCTATTGAGAGGATCATATGGTTTTTATTTTTTCTTCCCTTTATGTGTTGAATTACATTTACAGATTTGCATATTTTGAGCCATCCCTGCATCTCTGGGATCAAGGCTACTTGATC